ATAGCAATGGACGTATGCGTATACATATGGTCTGCTCTTGCAATAGGATCTGCTTCCAAGAGTTGCTCATCGTCCAAATTGCTTGGTGGCGCTGTATTGAAGTCGTCCGATGAGATGAATGGCGGACCACCCGATCCCATGCTCATTTGAAGCGACAACTCCAGGATTGTATTCCATATCCGGCGGCGCATCTCAGTCTCCAGAGCCGTCGTACTCGGAAGCTGCGATGGGTCCTTGTGCAACCCAACATATACCGCTGCTCGATACACCGCGCCCGCTGAGATCCACACAAGCTCAGAGCCAACGTCGACAAGCTCTCGTGCGATCAGGAGGAGGATGCTGATCTGTAGATATTGGATACCGAGCTTTGATTTGAACAAGGGTGATGACAGCCAGGTCTGGGCCTCAAAGACCCATCTCACCGCGTCGGCTCGCATGCACACTTTGTCGTCGTATATCATGGCTCCAATCGCCAGGACCAACTTCAACATCATTACAAATGCCATGTTAGATTCCGATGTGCCTTTCCACATGTTATCGTATGCATGTTGGAAGCTGGGAACATGCAGCACGCGGTAAAGAGTCTCCATGGTTCGAAGATATGCAGCGACGAGGTCATCGCAAACATGCTTCGGAGGAAGGTCTCGTGTTGGAGGCGTAGGCCACGTTGGGGAGCGTTGCGATTTGATGATCCGGGCTAAGGGCTTTGCTCGGTGCATACTGGTGATTACGTTGGGCGTTCCGCTATGTAAAAAGGGCTCAATTGTTTCGATGATATCACGGAATATCACCTAAAGATGGGTGTACAAAGTCAGTGTTTGTCTTACATGCAGTTCGTACATCGGCAATTACTCACGAATCCATTCATCCAATGGCTCTGTCCGAAAACTCGGTTTTTGTGTGCAATGCCTCGAGAGACAGCTGTACCGCTAGGCATCCGGGTGTCTTGGAGGACATTCACTGTACAGGCAAAGCTGCTGACAGTTTGTACAGTGTGCGTCGACACAGGAGTCGACGAAGATGGCGAGAGGGTAGTAGTGCTTTCAGCTCGCGATAACCTGTCTTCCAACTCGGTGATACGTGCTCTCATAGCATCAAGTTCGAAAGGACTTCGGTCGGTGCCGGTATTGGGCGCTTTGACGGATGAGCTTGAGGGTATGCTAGGTATGCTCCTGGAAGTCGGGCCTCCGATGTACGGTTGGATGGGTGTGAAAGGCGATGTGGCAGGCCTTTTATCCGGCACTCCAGTTTCGTAGACACAAGTGCCAGTCTTGCTCTTCAGACAGTTACTGCATGGCGTTTCTCGATTGCAGCGTAGCTTGCGCTTGCGGCATAGTGTGCAAGAGCTGAATGTGGTTAGCCTCTATCCTCATAGAAGGAAAACATAAACTGGTCTGCAGACTACAGCAAGGTGAAAACGAGCAAAGTGGGCGACCTGACGTCAATGTAGGCTCCACGGTGTTCAGCTATTTTCTAGGTTGACCGGATGAACTCACATAGTAAGCCTCTTGCGTCTGCGGCTGAAGTCGGTCATTGTGCGTGTCGATTTCTTGTTCGGTAAATGGAAGTTAGATCTACGGCCCGGAGGGAGTCGGTGTAAGTATTATAACAGCGGACCGGGGATAAGTTTTCGGTTATAGCTGGATTGTTTATCTAGTGGCGCGCCTAGAATGCCCATGTACCTTGCCCCAAATACGCCAAACCACGGCCTTTTCGGGGTATTGACCAATGAGATTGCAAGATTATCTCCACCCCGGCTTTGCTAGAAACCTCCTTCTCATGACGATATGACAAGCAACAAGATTGTATATATAAACCGTCAGAATGAGTGTTGTAGCCCTCATCAACTTCTCGACAGTCTTAGAGCCACAGAACTCCAATCCAAGCCTCTCCGATACAGAGTCAGCATGTCCACACCAACAGCTCAACCCAACGCCGTTGCCGGCACCAGCACCCCTTCCATTCCCTCCTACGATGTTGAAAAAGCATCTATCGAATCAGCCCACGATGACGGCCAAGCAACCGTTGACGCTGAGATCGCCGCATTAGGCCCTGCTCCTGACGGTGGCCTAACAGCTTGGTTGAACGCTCTAGGCGGCTTCTGTATCTTCTTTTGCTGCCTCGGCTTTACCTCCTGCTTCGGCGTCCTACAACAATACTACTCTACTCATCAACTGAGAGACCACAGCATGGACCAGATTGCGTGGATAGGCAGCCTCACAAGTTTCATCCAGTTTGCTGGGGGTGTTATCGGGGGACCGATGTTTGATCGCTTTGGTGTTTGGGTGCGTATTTTCTACTGGCGTGAAACTGATCTCGTACTGACTTAAACGAATAGATGATGCGGCCTGCGACACTTACATACGTCCTTGGCCTCATGATGCTGTCCTTGTGTAGCGAGTACTACCAGTTCTTCCTCGCGCAGTCTGTCCTCATGGGCTCCAGCGTAGTCTTCCTTCAGACACCTGCCTTTGCAGTAATGGGACATTACTTCGACAAGCGACGCGCCGCCGCCCTCGGTATCGTGGTATCAGGGTCCTCCATCGGCGGTGTCATCTTTCCAATCGTTCTGTCCAAACTTCTGAACGACTCGCCCCTGTCCTTTGGCTGGTGCATCCGTATCATCGCTTTCATCATGCTCCCTTTCATGATGTTTGCCTGCTTCGTCATCAAGCCGCGCATACCACCCCGCAAGACTACAGTCTTCCTTGGCGAAGCATGGAAGATGAAGCGATACGTACTGCTCGTTGCAGGACTGTTCTTCATGATGATGGGCATGTGGATACCGGTTTTCTACCTCCCAGTCTATGCTGTCAGCCGAGGTATGAAGCCTTTACTCGCATCGTACCTCCTCGCCATGATCAACGGGTCCTCCACGTTTGGTCGTATTATCCCGGGAATACTCGCGGATAAGCTGGGCGGCATGAATATGTTCGGTTTTGCCGGCATTGGCACCGCCATCGTAGTGTTCTGCATCAACGAGCCAACGACTAATGCTGGCATCATTGTCTACTCGGTCATGTTCGGCTTTGTATCGGGTACCATCATATCGGCTGGTTCAGCAGCTATTTCCAAGTGTACAAAGGTAAGTTGACTGTACGAAATGCATGAGACATGCACTGACTTCGTCTCTTCACCATTTTAGGACCCGAGGAATCTTGGCACGTACATGGGTATGGGCATGGGTGTTGCAGCATTCGCTGTTCTCGTCGGCCCTCCAATCAATGGCGCGTTCATCGATCGATACGGCGGGTTCAAAGAAGTGTCGATTTTCAGTGGCGTGATGAGTTTGATGGGTGGGCTTATTGCACTGTCTGCTAAATTCGCCACCACGGAAGGTATCTTGGGGAAGGTTTGAAAGGATGTGGCGAAGGGTCTGTCTTGTGGAAGGCGAAGAGGATTGTTAGCCTAGATGTAGGGGCTTCAGCTTGAAGGGAAGTAATTAGGTGGTCATAGATTGAATTGATTGTCATGTCAGAGGGTATGAAACATTGAACCCGTTACGCCAGATAACCGTAATGAAAACCTGTACATCATCAGCGGCAGCCGATCCTCACACGTAGGATGTCTTGGTAGCCACTCTCTTCCGATCTGCCCTCGCGACGGCACATGCGCTCGTCCCAACAGGCGCGTAAGCTTATGCGGGTGCGCGGTGGTATGTGAAGCCTTGTATGCGCGTAGCCTATCTGGCTCGTCTATGCCGGGATGGGCTCGTAGGTGTTGTGGGCTTGGCGGTTGGAGAAGAGGTAGTAGATGATCATGCCGACGACGGGGAAGAGGAAGACGACGAGGGCCCAGAGCACTTTGTTCGGGACGGGACGGTTGGACTTGAAGATCTCGACTAGAGCACATGTTAGCTTTGTTCGATGCGCGACAACCGTGCTGTCAAGGGCGTTGTGGGTAATTACTCCACGCGATAATGTCGAGGACGAGGACGATGAATCCAATGATGCCGCCACCGGTGCCAGCTTGCCAGGGCTTAGCTGACTGCGCCGTAATGGGAGCTGCCTCGGCGAGCATGAACATGGACAGCTGGAGGAGCAGAGAGAGCACGAAGTTCATCATGATGGCGGTGATGGGTGAGGTAAGACTGGGGTGGACAAGATGAAGCGTGAATGGGTGCAGTGAGAGGGAGGAGGCGAGTGTTGCGGTGTTGACGGCTGCTGCCTTCTATATGAAAGCGGCGGGGCGGAGCTTCAGCTGTTTGATGTCCGCACGGACCTACGTCACTGGAAATCCCACTGTCACGCGACACTCTTCCAAGGTACACATGCATCATCCCGCAGGAGAGGAGGTATATCACTATTCTTAACACACGCAGCGCGTCTGTACTCGTGCTTACTCTGCGCATTCTCGTCGCCCACCAAACAAGCAAAGAAAAGGTTCGAAAGACGCGTGAGTGGCGCGTTGGCCTCAGCCACACAGCCAGCCTCGAGGCCTTCCAGCGGCGAACATCACCACTTTTCCGACTGTCTCTGCCCGATCGATCATGCGGCATCACGAACTTCGTCTCGCGGCACCCCTTGAGTTCTCATGCTCCACCTATTCAGGCGGGCTTCATCTGCGGCGTCCTTGTGCACGTCGGCCGAAGCGACCAACTCTGCCAGTAGAGTCTTGACTTTGTCTCCAGAGGTCTTGAAGAGCATCTGGGAGCTATTTCTCTCTGCCCGTGATGCAAGTGCACTCGCGCGTCTGGTATCGCAGATTACACACGCTGCTCTGTCGACTTGGATACTTGATCCATTATCCTCGCCTCAAGGTCAACATCACAACAGGCGAACTTGATCAACTTTGCAAGCGGATGCTTCAAGCTTCTTCGAATCATTAACGGTCTCGCCGCCACCTACCAACATTAAGGCGGTAGTCGAAACACACAACACAAACATGATAGACGTCATGAGACAAGTACATGGTTAGCAGCTCCAGGTATAGTATTATGCCAACAATTTGATGGTAAAAGGTGAGTGCTATTTGTGTCATTATTCTCGCCCAGCACAAATCTAGTACTTGTGGCCCTTGACTACGATTTTGCCACCCTCACATTTCAGACTAATCTCCTCGCCGAAGGTGTAATACCCATGTTGGTCAGCCTCTGGGACCGGCTTTGGCGATGGGGGTAAGTGCTCTTCTTTGGGAGGCGCTGGATGCGTCTCCTGGGGCGGTGCTGGATGCGTCTCCTGGGGCGGTGCTGGATGTGTCTCCATGGGAGGTGCTGGAGGAGCTGGATGCGTTTCCTTAGGCGGTGCTGGATGTGTCTCCATGGGAGGTGCTGGAGGAGCTGGATGTGTTTCCTTGGGCGGTGCTGGATGCGTTTCTTTGGGGGGAGCTGGAGGAGCTGGATGTGTTTCCTTGGGCGGTGCTGGATGCGTTTCTTTGGGGGGAGCTGGAGGAGCTGGATGCGTTTCCCTAGGCGGCGCCGGATGCGTCGTCTCCTTCGGAGGTGTTGGATGCGTTGGCTGCGGCATAGGTGGGTGAGGCTTGTAGCTGCCGTCATCGTGGTCATCTTTGTCGTCCTCTGGAGCTGGATGCTCTGGTTCCGGCTTCGGGGGTTGAGGCTTGTAGCTGCCATCATCATGATCGTCTTTCTCCCCCTCTTCTTTGGGTGCTTCGGGGTGCTCCGGGCTCGGCTTTGGCGGCTCTTCGTTCTTGTGCTCGTCACCCTTAGGCGGCTCGGCATGGTAGTGCTCGTCGGGATGCTTGCCGTCCTCTATAGGCTCGGGCACGTGGGGTACCTCCACCTTGGGAGGAATGCAGACCTTGCCATGATCGTACTTGTCGCGCTGCTCACAGCACTTCTGGTACTCATGGGCTTTCACATCATCACCACGGACGGCGATGGGCTTTGCAGCGGCTGTGAAGGCCAAGATGGCAACGACAGCGGCTTGTGTAAGGCGCATGATGATGGTCAATCCAAGGGATTAAAACGACTGAGTTTGTAGTGAACGAGATATGAACGGTAGATAGCTGCTGCGACCAGTTCGAGATGAACGAGAGATATCCGCTTGGTAGCTGATGTCGAAACAGCGTACTTCATCTCTCTCATATAAATACCTGGGCTGTAATAGAGCTACCCCGTCTCGCTCTGACGGCTTGACCCTCTCCTAGGCAATTGCCTGCACAATTACGTCTCACAGTATTGATTTTCGATGTTGGAGACGCCCTACTGTCTTGGAGAACATAGTGTTGGCTTCCACCACATAGCCGAAGTACCGTCATGGCACTCCAGTCCTGAAGCTATTCATATTAGCCCATCTCGAACGAGCTCGATACGAACGTGATGAAGTCATAAGTTCTTGATGAACGCCCTCAACTGGCACGGTGGTGAAGCAAGTGTCGTGACCGCGACGCAGGGAAGTATTGCCCAGCACTGCTTCATTGTCCGGAGCTTACTCCAAGGCATACACACGACTCATTTTGAGATGCCTTGGGGAGCTTGTCGTGACGACTGCAGCAGAAGCTTGATTTGCCTCGTATAGTTGCCTTGGCCCACCATGCTGTTGGTTAGGGCAATTGCATACATCGCATACGGGGCTTTCGGTCACCATGTGCGAGCCCATCTTCCAAGCCACCATCGGAAAAAGGAACAGGAGCTATTTGAGAGGTTGAGGAGTGAAGCTCCTCTACGCGAACAAAGCCATACGCGGGGTAGTGCCTTGGCGGCATGACACATGGAATTGCCGGACTGGGTCGGCACTGCTTCCCCTTCCCTCGTCACGGCATCTAATAGGTCTCTTGGTGGGCGATTACCCATTCTGACGGATCAACAGGTACGCACTCCAGACTACAGCCTACCGACGAACTATCGTTGGCGCATACATTAATACGCGTGGAGACTACTTACACTTTTACTTCATCAACTCATGCGTCAATACTGCGGCCGCGCGAAGTTGCGGAGTGTACTTGAGTAAATCTGACGTCAACGTCGCAGACACAGTAAGCCCCCTTCCATGACTGCAATACATCTCAGCGTTGGACACTGTACTGGAGTTAATAGTTTGATACTAAAGCCGTAGATCGTCTTGGCTGCCCAGGTCTCAAGAGGCTACCACGACGTGGCTGATCTGCCAAATCCAGGCCTGTATGTATGTCCAAATATACACACGGTCTAGCAGTAGCGGTTTGTTTGATTGGCATTGGCTCTGCAATTAAGTCGGATAGTGCATAATGTCCAATTACTCATCGTTTTCCACGTAGAGGCTAAAACCTAGAAGGAGCGAATATGTCAGACCATGTTGGCTTCCCAGCGCTGACTGGGAAGACATCGCGATCGATCGATGCAAGGCCACTTCCATTCATGTAACTCATTGAGGTAATGAACTTGGACTATTACATTATTCCACTTCTAGTGCTGAGAATACCCATCGCGTATTCGGCACTGTGCCGTTCCCCGATATCTTTTCGATCTTGGAAGTGTGGGGCTTACAAGTGGAGTAGTAAATCCGGGGTATAGTTCTAGTCGCCTGAGTACGCTTTTGATGATGAGGTGAGGTAGCCAGATGTTCCGATCTTCCGTTTAGCGTTCGTATCCGTTGAAGCCGGTCTTCGCCAAGGTCTTAGACTATCTAGGTACAAGGACTCATTGCGTTAGAGTTCCGGATAGCTGCCATGCTACCCTTGTGTTCGTTTAGTGGCCTTCCAGTTGCGAACCCTTTGTCTGTTCCGGTCCGATGGAGTGGGTTGACCAGATATCACCATTCTATCTGTATCACGACCAGACGTGATTGGAGAAGCCACCAGAACGCTCCGCTCTTGTCGCCAGTGACTTACCAGTCCGAACGCGGCGATTATGCGGATGATGTCGAGTATCATAGCAGTATCTGCTGGAGCTTTGTGAGCTTGAAGGGCATGTTCGATGTTTTCAACAACTGAAGATCGAGCATTGATCTTGTTCCAGATGAGGCTGGAGTTCTGGCTGCGGGCGCTTCGCTGAACTCCTTCCCACCGAGAACTGCGCGTCGGGGTCTTCTGCCGGGTCGTCTGTGAGGCCACCCGGTAGCTGATCAACCATGACGCTCTCCTGTACGACTTGGGAGAACTCCTGCGCCCATTCATCTGATACCTCGATCTTCTCTTCACTCTCTCGCAATGGGGATGACGATCTTGCCCGAAAGCCTGCGGTACTTGCCTGTTGGGTGCGTGGTCGTCGTCGTCCAGCCTCTGGTGACAGTTTTCCGCCCGCATCTGTTTTCTTCTGAGCCTTGTTTGTCACCCCGAGCGGTGCTTCATCGGACGGTCGACTCAGACAGCCATCGTATTCCTGTGCGGCTGCGCGATAGAGACCTGTTAGCTTGTGCACGTCGCCTATAGTCAGTTCGTTGACATCAAGCAGATCTGGACCTTGTCGAAGGTAGTCGACAAGGCTCAACGTTTCCGCATCCGTTTTGCCGTCGATGGCTGTGTGGTAGCTTTGTAGCAGGCCTATCGCGCTGCGGACATTCACTCTCGGAGCACCAGACTTGTTGTGTTCGGTGGCCGGCGGCATCTTGTCCTAGGATGGCTTCGAAACTCGCGGCTTGCAATTTCGTAATAATTTGAATGACGGCGGTAGAGATTGTAGACGCACTTCGACCTACTTAGGTATCACGTTTCGCGAGCTGACGCGAACTGATTAGCTATGCGTTGTTTGGGGTGGCCCGGGGGCTCGGGAACGGCCGCCGGTCAGAAGGTAGACCGCTACAGGGGTGCTGCTTCGTTATGCAGCGCGTCGACACGCCGCCCGGGACCCAAAGTTGCTGCTCTTTACAGACATGCAAATAATTTGAGCTAATTGACCCTGTGCCAGGCGATTGATGGCACATACGAAAGCAAACTCGGCAGCAACAAGGTCGAGTTATGGAAGAACATTGCCTGCAGCACACGCATATAACGAAAGATGGGAGACATGGAGTTGAGAGTAGAGGAGACTAGGATAGAAAAAGACAATGGAAAGAGCGGCAGTTATTGTTTTCAGGTTACAGCCCTGGAGTAGTAGAGATGATGGGATAAATTGAGAGATCGGATTGACAGATCAAGTTCCCTGTCTACGGCACGCTTCCAGGAATTGTGTCGATAGCCTTGACGAGAAGATAGCTTCGATTCAATCATCCAGAAGCCATTGTTCGCAACACAGTCCCTCGACGGTATCCACTCGGTCTTGCCGAAGTACCCTCCGCTGCGGCGAACTTACTGAAAAGTGCAGAGAGCACCTTTCATGCGCTCTTCGTTCATCTCCCATCCTCCCACACGTGGTGACCCTCGTAGACATGATATGCCTCCGGGGTTATTCACCAAGGAGAACATCGCGCCTCAACCAACGAGAGCTTGCGTCAGAAGCCTCTCCTGCCCACTCAGGTAGTTGCGTTTTTCCAACCAGCGAAGTTTCCCCTTGGCTCTTTTCGAACTCAATTTGACCTGAGCCCCCTTCAAGGCGCTGGGCACGTCTTTCGCTATCTTGCCTACATCCTCGACGTGCCTGACGACACTCTTGCCCACCTTGCCTGTTGTAGCCTTGAACCCATCTTTGCAGACGGTCTCGATGATTTGTATAGTTGACCGGCGACGGGTTCTTGGCTCGACACCGAAGAAGGGATAGGGATCGAATGCTACGTATTTTGGCGGCGGATCATGGTTGGGCACGTCGTCGTATTGGTGCGGGGATGTTTGGGGTCGACATGGAACGCCGTGCTCAAGCGCTGCCGCTGCCGCTGAAGAAGCGAGTGGGAGGCTGGTAGTGCGCTGATGTAAGCCGTGAAGCATGAATGGGCCAGGTCGATGCAGCGCGAGGTTGTTCTCGCTCGCAGTAGCGCTTGGGAGATATAACCCAAACCGCCGTGCATCACTGACACCACTGCTATGAGCTGACCTTCTCCGCGGCCCGGACTCAAGTATCGCTGTATGTATTCCTGGTATGTCTGCGATGACTGCGAGGGTTCGGGCTTGAGGCGAAGGCTGAGTGGGAGGAGACTCGGGAGAGGAAGGAAGGGCCGTATCGGGCGAAAGGGGACCTGGCGGTAGGGTTGTCGCGTCGTGTACTGTCAAAGCGTGAAGCTCATCTCTTAAGGCATCCACTCTCGCATGTCTTCCAATGCTACTAGCAGATGAAGGCAGCTGGGAGCTCTCATTGAAGGGCCACATTGGGGTTGCCCACCTGCTGTTGATGTTGGGCGAAGCGGGAGAAGCAGCTCATGAGAGGAGGCTGCCTGGAGGAGGGGTGAAGAGGAAAGCATTGCGGGGTGTCGCGCCATGGTTATGCATGTTGTAATTGCGATAGCCGGCTCCAGCAGTAGAGTTGGCTCGCAGTGGTTGATGCAGAGTGGTTCTGGTCCGCTAAGTCGTAGTGTCCAGCTTGTATCCTGCGCGTCGCATCGAGACTGTCGACGGTGCTCTAGATCTCGAATGTTCTCCGGAGGGTGCCGTCCGGTCCGGTCTGCTCGTACATGGTGGGTGCGCTCGTGGGTTCACGATGGGCGAGAGATGGTGTTGTGACCAAATGACGACAGCTCCAGTTACCTCGGTCTTCTTGGCAAAAACCGCGCAGCGACCCGAAGCGTTACCCTCTCACTAACACGACACAAGACAGTACAGTCATCATCTCTACGCGCTTTATTATATCGTACTAGGCTAGGTATCTTGATGTGCTTCCTGCAACGCTGTTAGCATCAAAACGAGCGGCGCAGGCTGACGGACGCGCCACTTTCTCGTGCAACGTATGTACCATCACATAATGCATTCAGCATGCTCTGACGACTATGCAGACAAATTGCAGGCCATGTAGAACTTGGCAGTATGCATCTTCACATGATGGGTAGCCCTCTTCGCCTTGAACGCCGCGGCGCGCGCTTAACTATACATGCCGAGGAAAGGACATTGCTGGCTCATTAAACTGGCTCGCAGGAACCTGGAAACTATGGCAGATTCTATAAATCCTTACAAGAGGAGACCTTGGTGGTGCTGATGCTGATGACTGAGCTGATGCGTATCCTAAGGCTCCTGCTACTCACAGCAAAACATGTCAGCAGCTCATGAGACGACATGAGAATAGGCACATCTAATCATCGTACGATCAAACGGAAATAGTATTGCGGCAGAAGTAGCCAAGGACGCCCTAGTGCTCAGTGCGGCCGGATATGTTGCTCTCTGGTAGATGAGCCACAGCTATCCATAGTGTATGAATAACGGCACCCAGCAGCCTGTTTTAACTCTGCAGGTACCCCTTACCGCGTGTTGGTTTGAGAAGCAGGTAATAACCGTGCAGTACATCTGGTCTCGCGTCCTTGCGGCACAGCACATGGCGACACTTGGAATGCATGGCACTTGTTCGAGAAGGAGCGAATTGTTCGCGCAACGCCCGATGCTGCAACGCTCTCGTAAAGGACCACAACGGTCGCCGATGTATTTGCACAGTTCAAGGACTGATTAAAAGAGAAGCCTGGTAGTAGATCAGCCTCGCGGCGTTGGCATGGACCTAGTGTTCGGATACACGGACCACCACCGGGATTAAATCAGCCGCCAGCAACGGCTGCACCGCAGCACGCAAGAGTAGGATGGTAATATCCGCCCATCTTATCGCCAAATTGCGTTACACAGGACGATGTCGTAAACTCTCATACATAGGGCCTTCGGCAGGCTGCCCGTCCTATCCAATCACCCCCGATCCTGGCTTATCATTCAGGCCAAAGCGACTATACCGCTTTGATCCTGTCTCTTATCAGCCACCAAGACCCTGAGAGTTTACCTCACCCTTTGGTACAAGCGCGACGGTGGCTTACGGGTCCTTGGCCCTTTGAGACATCCAGTCCGGCGCGCTTGATTTCTTCGCATTCCTTCGCGGCACCGAATCTCAGGCCAAATACAGCCACCCAAGCCAGAAGCTCCACATTGTAAGCTCGGCTCCATCACTATGGGATTGGGAACGCCCTGCTTATCGCTGCCAAGACGGGCCATGTTCGACGTTGGGGGCACAGCAGCTTCGCATGTGTGGGCGTCAAAGGCGAGCAGGGGCTCAACGGCGCATCAATCTCGGTCCCTTGAAATTGGCGGAATGGCGTGAAAGAACGGGTGGGAAGATATATCAGCCTGGAGAGCCCCTGCCCATCCCGTCCTTGTTATCCAGAATACCCCAGAGGTCCCAGTCCTGGTCGATATACCGACATGTCTTCAATCATGGAGCCACCACCCACCGTAAGTATCCCCAGCTAGGACGACAACCTGCCATGCAGCATGAATAACAATTGTGTAGCCCGAGTTCGATCCGGCGAAGCCCAATGGCGGCAATCCAGATGTCGAGAATATCAACCTTCAGTACACAGGGCTGGAGTTCCACTACATCTACCTTATGATTATGGCCTTCCTTGTGTTCCTCATCATACCTGGAATCGGCTTCCTCTACTCTGGTCTTTCTCGTCGCAAGTCGGCCCTCTCCATGTTATTCCAGTCTTTTGCAGTCATGGGAGTTGTTACCTTCCAATGGATGTTCTGGGGCTACACGCTCGCGTATTCTCGCACTGCCAGTCCGTTTATTGGCAACATGGATAACTTTGGCCTCAAGAACGTCATGTCTGCGCCATCTCCCGGCTCATCGTTCTTGCCCGAGATCGTCTTTTGCCTGTATCAGATGCTCTTCTGTGCATGCACTGTGCAGCTCGTCGTCGGTGGATCATTTGAACGCGGTCGCATCCTACCTTCAATGGTCTTTGCCTTCTGCTGGGCGACTATCGTGTACTGCCCCATCGCATGCTGGACATGGAACGCGTAAGTCTCGCGATTATGTTTATCGAACCGAGCTAATTGGATTATAGAAACGGTTGGCTATTCAACCTTCCTTCACTTGACTTTGCCGGTGGAGGTCCCGTTCACATCGCGTCCGGCTGGTCCGCCCTCGCATACGCTTTCGTCCTCGGCAAGCGTCTACACAAGGGTGACAAGATTCACGGAAAGGCTCACAACCCTACACTGGTCTTCATAGGCACTGTCTTCATCTGGTTCGGCTGGTTCGGCTTCAACGGAGGTAGTGCTCTCAATGGCACAGTCCGCTCTATGCTGGCGGCGTTCAACACCAACACCGCCGCTAGTTTTGGCGTGCTTGGTTGGGTATCGGTTGAGTACGTCCGTACCAAGGGTCACTTTTCCGTCGTCGGTGCTTGCTCTGGAGCCATCGCTGGTCTTGTTGGTATCACTCCCGCTGCGGGTTATGTTTCTGTGTGGATTGCTGCCCTGATCGGCTTTCTCACTGCGGCCATCTGTTCTCTTTGCCAGAACGTCGACAAGTGGATCAAGATCGACGAGGGCATGGATGTCTTCAAGCTCCACGGAATCGGTGGCATGGTTGGTTCATTCCTCACCGGCATCTTCGGCCAAGCCTGGATCTACGACCTTGACGGCATGGGTCCCTACGACGGCCTCGGTGGCATGGATGGTGTGGGCGTTCAGATCGGTCGCCAATTGGCCGAGATCGTTGCCATCGCCTCCTACTCTTTCGTCGTCTCCTGCATTCTTCTGTACATCCTGAAGTTCATTCCTGGCATGCATCTTCGTGTCACCTCTGAGGCTGAGATGATGGGTCTGGACTATGATCAATTTGGCGGTGAGCAGATTGGCGACTGGAGCATCATGGACCAGAACCACTACGAGGCGAATGTCAGCAGCTCAAGCAGCCAGAATGTGCCTACATCTGTTCCTGCGGCAGCGGTCGGAAAGCAATCGTAAGAGTTGGTGGTGAGCGCCTAGTACTAGGTGTTGGCGCAGCGCGGGCAGCGATGCAGTTGGCTGTTAAAATTGCATAACAATTCCAAAATGAAGGCTCTTCCACTGGCGATCATCACACGGTGTAGACAGAGACTTTATCAAATCCATAGATTTATCACTTATAGGCATATTAATCGTCGTTCATTCCCTAGCCTCAACTATGCGTACTGTACGAGAATCCTTGCGAAGTACAGGGGGAGAAGCTGCGACAACTGCAGAACATTGTATTGACCCATCTGAAAGCGTAGCTCGTGTTCAGCAGGCTTGAATATGCTAACAACATTTCTCGAAACGGTTCACAAGCGGTAGCTCCCAAATTCATCATGCATCTGTTGTTACGCTAGTCTCGAATAACTCTTTGACGCTGCGTGGTAGCGGCGGTAATTTGGGAGGAAACAGATCACAAACTGTATCTTCGTCTGATGAATCATCGTCTGACCCAAAGACGGTCTCTCGACGTCTGGCGATAGGTCGGTATTCCGCGAAGGACGCCCGACTGGGAGGTGAAGTCATTAGAGACACCGACCGTGTATGAGAAGGTCCAAGAGCAGCGCCAAAATTTGGCTGTAACGCACTTCTCAGCGTACGAGACCCCATAACCTCGGACCTTCCGGTCAAGCTCGTGGTCCCTGGAAGTGGCAGGCGCATCCGATGTCCACGGCCACATATGAGCGAGCTGACTGATATAGGAGCTCTTGGTGTTATGTGAGGAGATACCGAGGACGACGACATAGACGTTGAGCAGCTGCGCTTTGATGATGAAGAGCTGAGATCCGTACTTGAGGAAACCTTGATCGGCATTGTGACATGTAGAGACGCATGCTTTGTCGTGTCCAATTTACTGACATTGAAGCATGCATTGCCGGTAGCAATCATATCATCAGAAAGTCTCAGGACCACCAACTGCGCACGTCGCAGCTTTAGAGACTGCGCAACGTCATGTCGGAATGGGAGGAGTTCCTCAGCGCTGAAGTCGCCCGTGTGCCGAGTGAGTCCGGCGAAGAAGTCTATCATGAACTTTTCGATTTTCGTGTGAGTGCCAATGTGGTCCTCCAAATATATGAAGGGTTCGTGTTCTAGGGGTATTTGGGCGTGAGCGTTCAGCAGCTCAAGGTAGAATGCGCGATAAGTATCTACAAGCTTGTTTTGTAATCGCACATCGTCGATCATATCTGCGAGGCACCACGCCTTGGCCAGCTTAAGCATCGTGTCACAGCTACCTGTGAGCTGCTTTAGTGGGATTTTTGCGCTTGGTCGCAGTCGCCGTATCAGACTGCTGCTGCCCAAGTAGTCCAAGATGATCTCAAAGACATCGGCGTCGGTATTCATAATCCTGCATCCCTGTACGAGACGCGCGCGCAGTACTGGGCATGCCTTCAGGGCCGAGCCAGGGATATGGATAAAGCGCGCATAGGGTGGTTTACCCACTCGAACTTCGATGTCGTTGGTGTTCGGGACTTTAGTGCGCACCTTCGCTGGAGAATTATAGACAGTGGCTATATCTGCACTTGAGGAGCTTGTAGAGGACCGTCCGTTAGAGTAAGACTGATCACCTAGTGTCGCCTGAAGTGAAGTGAGCATTGTCGAGATACAATCAGGGGTTTTCTGTTCGGGTTGAAAGCGTGGGATAGAGTTGAATATTGAGGCGGGTAGATCGTGCCACCAATCTCTAATGTTTGTTGGAAGCTGGAGAAGTGAATGAGAAAGTGGTGCAGCATTAATACACATGACCTGTATATGAGATCCCATGGGCAGGGCTGTCAATACGACTTGAGAGGTTCAGGATTCGTGGTTCCTCTGGTTCAGTGGTGAACGAACCAAGGTACATGCTTCGTTAAATTATCTACACATTTTGCTTTCTCTCAAGCTGTGTCTGACGTTGGGCGTCGGGAGAAGCTCACAAGTGTTGAACACGTCTCTTCAAGTATAACTCAACATGATGTAAATGAAGCCGCACAGTCTCCGTACTCATAGAAGCCATATAATACGGGTGCCCTGCGGATGTTGCGAACGCCGAGGATGGATTCAAACACCTTGCGTGAGTAGCACCGCAAACTTCATCCGCTGCGTAATGCTAGCACCTGGGTTGGTCGATCGAACGAACATTCGCGAAGAGTCATTGCACAGCGCGCATGGTGTTGTGGGAGCCACAGTAAAATACTGCTGCGTGACCTATGAGCAGCTCGAAGTTAACAACAACGACTGCTGGATCCCAATTTGGAAGCTCCTCAGAATGCACGGTCCATTTGCGTTGGTAGATAAGGCGGTGCTACGGATACGCAGATGTGATTGTTATGCGAAGGAGTGCACTCTTGATTTGCAAAGTTCCAGTGGTGATGGAGGCTGATGCCCAGGTGTAGAAGAGGGCAGAGGGAACCGGCACGCCGGGGATCCAGGAGACAGATTTGCACGGACCATACGCTAGTCGGCCCGATGCCAAATGCAAACCTCGCGTCATCGCCCCTACATCTCAACCACGCGCAACAGTTACTCGCGCCTCATGTTTGCATCCAAGATTGCCGGGTCATCATTGCGGCCCGCGTGCTACGCGTCTCGGTTGCCGGCGGTTTCTACCTTCCGTCCTGCTGTATCACAACTCCGCCACCTTTCCAAAAATCGCGTACTTCGTGACCAGCAAAGGAATGATGCCCAAAAGCCTACACACGAGCAACCATCTGTCTTGGTAGACGTATCACCGCCCATCGATCATACTACCGAAAACGCAACACCTGAAAGTCCTAGGAGGGTTAGATACCTGCGCCCCGCACTATGGGCTCTTTCGGTATCCTGCGGCATATTCTACGGTCTCGCCTATCTAGAGGCCAAGAGGGAGCTCAAAACAAAGCCGACATCTAGTGGAGGGTGGTTTCAGGCACCGCAATGGAACACAACACAACGCGGACCTCCGACCCCAACTGAAGTCATAACTGGAGCGTGGACCGGTCTCGATCCCATTTCGCGAGTCACGTACGGACTTATCGGGGCCAATAGCGGTGTTCATCTCAGCAGCTTTCTCGTGCCTAAAGCCTGGGATGCACTATGGCATACACCTGCTCGCAACGTCAACTACACTCAATTCACATCCATGTTTGTACATGCTGGAGCTTTGCATTTTTTCGTCAACATGTATTTCTTGAACAATTTCATGGCACCAGTCGGATACTCGCGACTGTTCGAGGGTAGCCCATATCATACGTTGTCGTTCTTCCTCTCGGCAGGTGTGCTGTCGGGCTTTGCTCAACACTGGCAGACATGGAGTACCCGCATACCTTTCCATCGACGGCCCATCCCCGAGATCTTCATCAAGTCCGGAGGTGCATCAGGAGCACTTTTTGGAATCTTAGGGGTGTTCTGCATGCAATACCCGAACGCTGGAATAGGGATATTGTTCATTCCAGTACACTTTGATGCGCAATATGTACTGCCTGCGATCCTTCTTTTCGATCTCGTTGGCATCATTCGCGGTTACAGCTTCGTGAACTTTGGCCACGCAGTAAGTTCAACGCGCATGACTCCACGGGACTTACTAACATCATTAGGCTCACTTCGCCGGCGGGATGCTTGGCATAGCATATTCATACTTTGATGGTAAAACAAACCTTTGGAAACCGCTAGTGCGCCACTGGAAACGCAGCCTACAGTCCTAGATCGTTGGGGGATTGAAAATCATGAAGGACGAATCAAACGACCAGTTGGAAAGCTGCAAACTTTCAGACAATGTACAACGGCGTCGAAAGTCCTAACAAGCCACATCCACGATGGACACTCCTCTCAGTACATGCATTAGGACAAAGAACACAAACATTTTCAAACTCCACATCTGTCCAATGGATGTGCAGTCGTATCTACACCGGAAACATCAGACGATGCATTTCTTTCATGTGGTACAAACCGATGATGCTGTGGCCGATAGCTTATAAGAGCAGGAATCTCACAAGCCCATTGTCTTCTCGAAAAAGACATCGCAACCATCAGAGACTCACACGACCATCCGACACCAAAACATGCCTTTCAAGATACCGAATGACGGTGTCACTGTTACGGTCAAATCCGACAACGGGCACCTTGTTCCGATCGAGCTCAATGATCGCGTACTCAGAAACTGTCCGGTAATCAACGCAATGCCCTCGGGTACCATACTACCCAACGTGCAAGTGAAGCCTTTTCAGGTCGTGACGAGTTATCTGGATGGCGACGATCTCCCGGCGGTCTTCGCGAGTCGCGTCGACAGTAGTGCGCCTTTGCTCCTCTTCGCTCAAACGTGGGCGCTCGCGGCGCGACTTGGTCTTCCTATCTTGCAGAATGAGCTCATATCGGTCGTGACCGACGTTCACGCCAGAATCATTAACGGAAGCGGAACAGACTCGCGCTGGCAGCACACTGCCGATGGGTCTCTTGTCGAAGCTTTCCGGCATCTCCGAGAACAGGTCGGGGCGAACAGTCATGCCGAAAAGTTTCTCATATGCTTTGTTGGCCGCACAGCACTGTTCGTCAGCGAACTGGACCAAAATCTCACCCGCGAACATCTGGACCCTGCTACCCGAAAGGAAATATTGGACGAAGCACGATCCTTCGGTCTGGATCCTATCAAACATCAGCCACAAACGTTCCGTATCAACCCCCAACAGCCACCAAAATATCGACCCCTTGAGCAAGACTGTAACGATACAGGTATGGCTGATGGGTTTTGGTCACCCCCCGGGGCGTCACGCTCAATCACCAGGGACGACATGTGGAACCTGCCTCCACAACACCGTAAATCTCCGAAACTCATGTACCCGCGGCCACGCAGCCCGCTTTCCAATCGGTTCGACCACGGCTCAGATCCATTGGTATGCACGCAGTCTGGAGACCCCAGTGATCCAGATCCAGGGTACACATCGCAGGCCATCAATTTCGATGATCCCAATCGGCCCACTGGCGATGGAGTTAACGTGATCCGTCTGACAGGTCAAGGCTCAGGCGGCCCACGATCTCTACCCTGCCCGGCCAACTATCATCATGACACCACATTACCCTACATCATCCAAATTACGCAGCACAACGATAACGCTCATGGAAACGGAAACTACACTCACTATGGCGACAAAAGCAGTACGACTGCACATGCTCAGGGTGGTGGTACTGGACGCTCAAACCGGACTGTACGAGCAGTAGCGGATAGCGGAGAACGGCGCTACAAGCTCATCAGGGAGAGGAAGGGAAAGCAATCCAAATGGTTTTCGCTCTTGGCATACGGCAGCAAGTACTATTAAGAGCAAAGTGCGTGTTGCGAATGCCTTTGGTTTCATTGGTAGGGTGTTTGTTCACGTTCGCACATGCCGATGCGTCATTATTATATAGCTCCAATCAAAAACTCGCTTATCAATCAATTCCTCCTGTTACCATGGAACGTTTAATCTTTATGCGCGATACCACACCCCAAAGAACCAACTCCTGACCCTCTCCCTTTTGCTCATCCTGCTTTTCGCACTACCCATCTTTAGCTTATCGCTTTCCTGACGAATTAGCTCTATGCTATTGACGGTGCGCAAGGCAAGACCACCCAGGCCTTCGATATCCACCTCTTCTTCGCCCTCTTCCGGGAACGCCTCATTGCACACGTTTTCTAGATCGCTCTGACGAGAACAAAATCTAATCCTCGTTCTCTTTCGTCTCTCGACGACGAGACTGTCGATTGCACGGAGAGCTAGGGAAGAGGTGACTTCAACGTCTTCGATCTCCTCTTCAGTTGTGTTGTATCGTGTCTCTGGTCGTGGAAACGAAGGCGCTCTTGCGTGACAGCGTGTGAGTGGGTATGTAGAGTCGTGAACACGGCTGTGTGCGGAGTCGATTGGAGATGACATGTCTGCGTGATGTGCGCTTGATCTTTGGATTTTGGAATTTGGAAGTGCTCGGTAGTAGTTGAAAGTTGATATGGCTGCCGCTTTGATCAAGGCTGGAGATAACCGGTAGCGTGGAGGGCTGAGATCAAGAAGAGTGTAGCAGAGGAAGAAGGGATGCTGAGATGAGAGAATTAGAATTGAGAGAAAGAGCAGACGACTTATAGCAGATTAAAGAGTCAGAGCCTGTAGCTTCTTTTTATTTCAAACTATGGGAGCCATGATGATGGTACCTTGGTTTGATTTTTCCATATGCCCATACATTGGTTCCAAACATGCCATCTCCTATTTCACATTACTCATCCCTCATCCCTCATCCCTCATTGGAAGCGCGAACTTTACGTCAGATGTACCGACTGTACGCCAAAACAGCCACTCGTATGGTACGAGCCTCAAAGCACGCGTCGCATCTCATCAGATATCGGGAAGTCAACGTCGGTTCCCGCTAACTTGATGCCAAGCGCCCTAACCTTCTCTTTCAGTTGCTTCTGTAACTGTGCAGGCATGGAAGGCAGCCCACCAAGTTCTTTAACCTTCTCTCTAATCTCGGGAGGTAGCAGTGTCAGGTAGTCCATGTCGGGTGAGCTCATCATCTGCCTGAACTTCTCGTCAAGCAATGATTCGAATTCTTCCGCGTTCAGCCCATGGGAAGAGCTGCAAAGATGCTCCGTGGGGATGTCAGTATAGCCTAGTCCACGTAGCGTCTGACATGCAAGTATCTTCATCTGTTGTTCACATGATGTGCAGTACCAGCGCGACACCTTCTCCACACCGAGCTTCTTTACACATGACTTGTGAAAGTACGTAGTAGTACAGTCGCGATGTGAGCAAATGACAGTGTCCTTCGCGGGTGATTCACCCTTTGGTGCGGTAGCACGACAGTAGCAAATGCGCTGCGTACCTAGACGCTCGAGTTGGTTGTGCTGGATATCCTGTAACATGACCTGAGTGAGCTCCTGCTTGTTGAATCCGTTCTTTGCAAAAAGTCGCTCGAATCGAAGCTCTTGAGCCATTAGTGCTCCAGGATTGAAGCCATTCTTAACGTCGTCGTACTCCTTTTGCAGACGATCAGGTACGCCATCTGGGTTGCGATTGCGCGCTCGAATAGTAGGGTCTTCCATGAGATAGTTGATCAGGTCATCGTCTACTAGCATCAAGCGGCCCTTGGTCCGATGATCCTTCTCGTACAGCGATAGTAGTTTCTCTCCACGGAGGCGGTTGAAAGGCCCGGTGCTACATAAGTCTAGGCATGGCATCACCAGGTAGCATTGATCTCCCAGAGGATCAACACAGGGACAGTCTATGTCAGAGTCAGTGTCTGCTGCTAAGTGCCAGTTGCGATGCACTTACGAGGCTCATGGAAGGGACAATCAAGAATGTCATTGTTCTCAAACGAACATGATGTGCTGTGTGAACAACCATCCCATGACGGCGGGAACGGATTTGTGAGTTGATCGCTAATAAATTTGCGGACAAACCTAATCCAGTGCATGTGCTTGCCGTCTTTTGTGATAGGTAGTACAGGTTCAGGCAGAGGTACTGGAGACACTGCCTTAGCGAATGTCGCGTCCGTGGAGATTGGCTCTGATACTACCGCAGTGGAAGCATCGTGATCATTGGCGCTCTCCGTGTACGATAGCACATCTTGAGAACTATCGCGGTCCTTGTTGTAGAGTATAGTATCAGGTAGCATGGAAGCAGATTGTGCTAAGACGTCACCCACGTCATAGACATCTTCAGTGGCTTCGTTTCGGAGATCAGGAAGACTGATAGCTGCCTCCGGTATAGACTGCTTCTTTGCCTTGCGCTTCGCCTCTCGTGCCTTCTTAGCCTTCTTCTTCTGCGAGATTGCGGGATGGCCGTTGACAGAGTCTTCCGTCTCGGTCGTAAAACTCTCGGGTGCTGACATACCCCAAGCCTTTGGAGGCTTTACTGCTGGAGCTGGGATATAAGGCTCATCTGAAGAGCTCCGCGAGGCTGAGAGGTTTGGGAAGTCGCGCGAATCGGAAAGCCATGGAGTCGGTCCAGGCCGAGGAGCACGAGCCGGAGGCTTACTTGGAATGTTACCCCAAGCGCGCGTCTTTGCTACCGATTTTGTTGGCGTCACTCCATTCGTGACGACTTGCCATCCATCAGGAGCTTGTTGTGATTTCTTGATCCGGCCAGGCACTGTAGTCGGCCCCCGCTCTGAAGCCTTGACGTTGATCACCAGAACCGCAGCCGACTGTCTGTTCAAGGTTGGGGCGGGTGGCAAAGGTAATAGCGGAGTATGATAGGGCTCGATATCTGCATGGTAGAGTCCATCGTCGCCGCTCACGCGCTTGTGGTTGCTCTCAAGATGCCTTCGGTCGGAGATGTCAAGGGTACTAGACCGCGGCGGCGACTCGTCATCGTCCTGATCACTGGATTTCTGTCAGTTTTGAAAATAAATGAATTGCGCAACGAAGTTGGCCAGCGTCTTGTCGCAATTTTGCGGGACTAAATGAGGGCAAGGGCAACGAACCTGACCAGTGGAGCAGTCTCATCCGTGGGGGTGATACCGCCACTGAAATCACTCAGACTAGACGGGAACTTCTCTCCAGTTTTCCAGTCCTTTCCAGTATACCTCTCTTCTACAATACCGTATGCGGTCTTACTAGTGTATCGGAGATAGCCTGCTCGTCGCATTCGCACTTCGGCAGTGTCTTTCTTGACCAGAACGATGTCCTCCAGGACGGCGTGCTTGAACGTTTCGACGAGGCCTTGGAACATCTTGAGTTCTTTGCCTTGTAGACCCTTCGTTTTGGTGTTACGCCTGAGTAGCTCGTTGATACGGAAGGTTTCCAAGATGCGGTCCATTTCGGCTTCGAAGTCAACGTTTAAAGACTCGACAGGCGCCTCGGCGAGCTTTCTGATTCCCTTGCGGCCGACTTGCGTGCTGTATACATGGGCGTGGTACTGTGGAGTAGTCAGTAATTTGACAGAGTAGATACCAAAACAACAGACTCGGCACCTACACGAAGCTGTCGCTCAATCTCCTCGATCTCTTCCGGATTCCGCGGCCCGTCCGCGTCGTTGCTCGTTATGCCCTCAGCTGAGTGTACAACGGAGTCGATGTATCTAATCTCCTCCTGCGTAATGACTCTAGATCTACTAGCCGCTCTTGCCAGACGCTTTGCATCCTTCCGCTCACGCTTTGAGGATGGAGTGTCCTCATCGCCGAGATCTCTCGCTCTTCCACGTTCGTCTAGCTCAGATTCGTCCGGCACGATGTTCCAGTCGATCTCGCCACAACTCTCATAGACGGCTCGTAAGCGCTCGGCAATGTCGTGATGACGCTTGTAGTGTTGCTCATCAATGCCCATACAGTACTTGCAAGTATGACCGCGAAGTCGCATGAACATAGCCTGGAGAGGTTAGTGCATCGTTCGCCTTGGGTATATCCCATGCAACTAACCTGGTGGAAGCGCACGCATGGCTCGCTGTGCTTGCCGAAACAAGACGCCCTCGCGCCGGGGTGGCTCAGTGGACGCTCGCAAAAGCCGCAGTGGTGTCTATTGGATTATCGTTAGCGACCGTCTGCTTTGGGTGATTGCCTTCGGACTGCGTTCCGGTGGCCCAAACAAACAAACACCGGGCTCAGCAACTCACTTGAGCGCCTCCGAATCCTCCCACTTGAAAAGAAGACTGTTGACCATGTTAATTTCGTTTGCGCTTTCGAAATCGATCGCGACCTGGGTAGGCTGATGGCGGGGAGGCAGAGCCGCTAGGATTGGATGCTTTGAGAGTGTGAGCGAGGAATGCACGCGCGATTGAGAGGATAATTCTGCTTGGACACGGAGTGCAGTAGAGAAGACGCGCAATTGTTTGGGATTGTGCGTGGTAACGTAGCGGGGCGAGGTGCAATGGCTGTTGACTGGTGTAACAGCGCATCCAGGGTTGCTCCGAGGCTGGCTACGTAATTGTGCGGAAAGAGCGAGTGACTGCGACAACACAACAATGAAAGATTTCTGTAGAGACAGCGACCAACAAGACTTGCGCAAATACCAATTGTGTTCGATCAAAAAGAGTGCCTCCGGGTCGTTGTAAGGAAACGACTCGTCGTCGTTGCGGTGAAGAATGCAGTGAACCGACCATCCGCGAGGTTTCGCGTTGTTGCATCATAACAGCCAGGATTAGACAGGATTTTGACACCATACAAACGCGAAGACCACGAATCAAGTACCACTATTAAACATCCGACACAATGCGCGCACCTGCCCAGACATAGGGATAGTTGCGTTGATACCAGTTGACGCTTGGACACGTTAGTCATGTGGCCTCATCTGCAGCCACTGTCGCCCACTTACAAGGTCTTACGCCCAGCGATGCGCGGATGCGTCGCCCATGATCCACCCAACGTGACGTTGTGTTTACGGTCGAAGAAATCGGCTGCCTGATGTCAGCGATACCATCTCATCATGTGTTGAGGAGCAGAAGCCCGTCACATCGCATCATACCTGTATAGCCTGGATACAACTCCATCGGCTCGAAGCCATCATGCTTCTCCAGCACAGTGCTAGTCCACTCCCAAACACCACCCAGGTCAGATTGGCCGCAGAGCTTGTTGCCCTTCTCGGCCACTGAAACTGGATGCCAGTGTTTGAAGCCCACATTCGTTCCTTCGAGGTCAACGAAAAGATTGCGTGGGTTGAGACTAGATACTGCGCCAGAGTCGCCGTTTGACAAAGTTCGGGATGGTGGTGTCTCAAAAACGCCTTCGTTGATCAAATGGCTGCAGACTGTTAGTCAAGAGTCTACGAGAATGGATAACAGGCATCATACCCGTTCACGGCTGGAATCCTGTTTCCAAGCGAGCTTTCAAATTCCGGCTTCATGCTGTCGACATAGCTGTAGATGCTTCGTGCTTCTTCCATGGTAGGAATGCGACCGCCCATCCAATGTGCACAACCAGCTAATTCGTCGTAGGAGGCGACTACAGGCCATCCCATGACAAATTTCAAGGGAACAGTGCCGTAGACAGTGCGTACAAATTTCCCTTCGGTGATGCTCTGAGGTGAGGCATTGACACCTCCATCGTGGCCGTTCACCACGCTGTCTCTCTTGCCAGTGCTCAGGTCCTTGGCGTTTGAGTATGGCTGTTCGCACCACGACGCAGGTATGGCTGGATTCGACAAGTTAGCAGACGAGCTCAAGCTTTTGATCAATACACGCGACAACTCTCGCTGCACAGATTACGTACCTGTCTTTCCTGTCTTAGACAGATATGTGGCATACTCCCCATTCGTGATTGGTCGAGCCTTTGCGCGGAAGGACTTGACATGTGCTGAGCGGTGAGGCCTCTCGTTATCCCAGCCAAAGTAACGCTTGGTCTCAAAGTCATTCTCTGGGTCTTCAAGACCGATGTCGATGTCCGCTTCGGGGATTGTGAACCACTCGTTAGCGGTTGCTAGGGTCTCAGATTGCGCCGCAAACGCCGAAAAGTCTGGGAGTTTGGTTCCTGGAGGTGGCAAGACCTTATCACTCTGAATCAGCATATAGAGCAACGTCTCCAGGTGCATGGCTTCATGCTCAAAGCCAATCCACAGTGCTCGCGACACGCGACCGTTCGACTCTGCTTCTCCCGAAGTGTACAGCGCCTCAACCTTTTGTCGCACAGTTTCTTGAAACTTCAGGATTGTCTCCAGCGGGGGCCACGCTTCGGGAACCTCGGAGTGAGCATGACATTGAGTTGGGTCTTCAACATCAGGGTCAACACCACGTTCAAAGATCTTCCAGAAGTAGGCGGGGTCTGACGGCTTGCCATCGGTAGCACGGGCGATGTGGATGTCCAAGAATGTAGGAATGTGGCCAAGGTAGAAGATACACTCGTTGCGAAGCTTGATCGGCTTAGATAGTAGCTCTTCTTCGGGTATCATGTCCTTCGTGACCGCGTCCCAGGCTGTCCAAAGCTCACGCCACTCGGTCAAAGATGGCACCGGCTTCGCTGCGTATTCCTCAGGTTTGGTAGGGAAGAACATTGCAGGCTTCGAGACAAAATGCAGGCCGTAGTCGCCCTTCGAGTTGGCCCACACAACGTTCTCTGCGAGTTTGGCCAATTCCCAGAGCTCCTTTGCTTCCTCGCGACTGTACTTGTAGGATTCTTCGATACGAACTCTCTCGCCCTGCTTGATATGAACACCGTCGACGACAGTGTCTTTGCGTGGTGCGACAAAAGCGTGATGTCTTCCAGCCTGTTCGTCGTACTCTCCAATGGCTTCCCAGTCCTGAATGTCGAAAGCTTCCTCGCCCATGAGTGCGTTTGCGTGCTTCAGCCCGTTGAGAATGAACTTGTGTGTTACACCGCCGCGATCGTTGTATGCATGGTAAACACGCTAGTATAGGAATCTGATCAGTGGGTGTTTGCATGCCCGTGGGGACAATAGATTTACCTCGGGATCCTTGCATGAATCGATACCGATAAGCATGGTATCGCCAGTCTGGAGAACCGCACCAAATCCAGCAAGGAATGGCGGTACTTCATGGCGCTTGAAATTGCCCAAGCTTGAGCCCAGCCAAAGGATTGTTTTCGGTTTCGCTTCGATTTCGGGAGTCTTCAGCCACTCAAGGGCATCATCATAGGTGCCATAGAGGCCAAAGCATTTGACGTGTTTGTACCCTTCTGCGTGCTTGATTAGCGAGTTTCGGCAGTTCGCATTGCCCGGTATTGCGCAATGATAAGGAGATAAGTGTCCGGGACACTACTACGTTGAGGTGCATGTATGCAGGCTCATGTAGGTCTAAGCCACTTTCACAGGAAACTGATGCAAGCGTGTCGCACTATACAAACCCCACGACACCCCTCAATGTTAAGCATGGTAGAATGAATCCTCACCTGTAGGTATTTCCCCAAATGTTCTCTCCAGCTCCGGCAGGGAAAGGTCGACAGCGTAGTACTCGACGTCTTTGCCAAGACGGTCGACGGCTTGCAAGAGTATGTTGACTTTTCTGAGGTTGCTGCAAACACATTAGTATTCACGAAGCACAGGGCTCGTTTCCAATCTCTTGCGCAGTGCGAGCCAGGACCGTACCCGCTCCCCAGTTCCACGACAATGGACCCCGTCGGGATTCGTTCGGCGATTTTCTCCGCATACGTCTCGAGGACTTCAATCTCGGCATTCGTTAGGTAATACCTAACATTGCGAACATTCATCAGCTTGGTGTTCATATAAACCAAGCGTGAAGCTGCTCACTCCTCTTGGTACGTGATCTCTTCGAATAGACGAAGGCCTTCTTGGCTAACAGCAGAGACAAAAGGTTAGCGTGCATCATGGGCTGACTAAATCGTTGCTTACTCGTAAAGCAGCAACGTAGGCAGCTTTTTTTCGCCGCCACTCTCAGGCCGAAGGCCTTTCTTGATATCAGCGAGGATATCCGACTCGGCAGTGTCCGTGCGTATGTCGATTATTTTGGTCGCCATCTCTCTGGGGTGTTTGGTATTGGATGCTGTAGTCAATCGGTATGCCCCTCAAGAGCCGGTCTACTAGATGCGTCTTATGCCGAGGGTCGCGCGATACTTATACAGCGCGTAAAAGTACGTAATGTGGGTACTCGGACGCTTATGCCGTGCGGTAGCTGACGGTAACTAGAGGGCCGGTAACTGTTCAAACGGAATAGTGTAGAATGCAATGCTCCGTCAGAACGTGTACTGTTTGGCTAGCGGCTGTGGTGGTAATATCACTCGCAAACACGCGACAAATCAGACACGGTTCCTTCTCACGGTCAACGGCGGTGCGAGAAAAACGCCTGTTCGAGTCGAGCACATCATCGGCAAAAACCCCACCGAGGCAATCTACTCTGGTACCAATGCCATCCGGAAGCATGGTAGCTGGAACGTCAAGCATTGCTACGAGACCATAATGATGACGTCAATGTGTGCCGGCTAGGGAAAGGACGGAAGTCCGGGAGCAAAGGCAAAGAAGGTCTCGAAAACCGACGCCAAACCACCACGTCCAGGAACACGCTGCAGGGCAGGCTGAGGCTGTTCTTCGGTCGCAAACTCTCGCCGACTGTAACATGTTCGTGGATGACCACACTGCCTGCTGCGGGGTCGATGCCTTGCTGCATAAGCGATGCCGTCACAGTGGAGTCGCGAACTTGTTGACACATTACCGTGCGCTCAACCATGGCTGGGCATGGCAACGTGATTGGGAAGGCGGGCGACTTGTTGGACGCGGTTGGCATTGGCGTAGGCGGCATGGGGAGTGTCAGGTACAAGCGTGTTGACAAGCAGAAACATGTGGGCAGCGACCGTGACGACCGTCTGGTGCAGGATCATCACGTGATCGACTGTGGGCCTTGGCTTCAGCCGATGCACGACTGGGCA